TAATACCCTTTTCCCACCCAGCCATCTTTGAAATATTTCTGTCACCAGAGTCCATAACTCCCTGGATATGAAGCTTCCAATGGAAGTCCCAAAAACTTGGATGGTAATGAGTTGCATTTGCACCCTAAGTTGAAGCTAATTCTGCAATGTTGGGGACACCTCTCACTGGGATTGGCTCATTTTTTGGATGGTCACTTTCAAACCTGAAACTGCTTAAAAGCGTATCAACAGCACCTAAGAAACAACATATCTGATTGTTGAGCAATTGCAAATATCAAAGAGTCATCAGTAAACTGAAAGACAGCTATCAGTTGACTTCCTTATCCTAAATAGTTTAGCACACCATGTATAAAATTTGTAATAATAATTACTATTTTTTGTTGGGAAGTATTTAATTTGAAACCAATTCTTGTGGGAGGAAACTAAAATTGTTGCCTTTCACTGCATATCTGTTCTCTTTGTGAAACAAGTGGGGAAACTACACATCATCTATTAATCCCCTGCACTTTTGCTTCTGGTGTTTGGGTTTCATTTCTTCTCTCTGTGGGTGTGGATGGTCACCTTTTGTTGACTTAAAGTCTTGGAGATGTGCAAGGGCAGTCATCCACTTTGTGGTCTATTTGGGAAAAGAGAAACAACAAAATTCTTAATGAGTAAAAGAGAACAAAAAAGGAGGCTGTTGTAAGGTATGTTATGCCTCGGCTAATGTGCAGGATCAATTTGGTCATTCTATATTGTTTTATGTCACCCTAATAAAATAATTGTGGGGGCACCTTCAGACCCACTGATTTTCTTCATTTACTCTCTCTCTCTCTCTCTCTTACCTCACCCTTCCTAGGCACTGATTTCATGGTATCAAAGAACTTTCCTTGGTGATACAATCAATCCATTTTTGTTGTTTTCCCAAGTGGGCTGCTAGATCAAACAAGGGCCACAGGAGGAAGTCCTGAAGGTCTCAGACTGATATAAACTCCTATTTTTTTTCTCTTTTCTCTGTTATTTCTTGGTCATAGGACCAAGAAACATTTGTTCTGGTGACTCTGCAGTGCTTATGGGAATGTAGAACTCATTCTTCTTCCAATAAATTTGGATTGAGTGATGCTCTGGGTGCTGGGGTGTATACCTCTAGGACTGAAAGTTGTGCCAATGCAATCAGATTCAGATTAGCCTTAGGTACATCTGAACTTCCACAAGTTATGGTGATTGGTTATTGTACCGTTTTACAGATAAAGGGTGATTCCAGCCCTGTCCATTGGCTTGTTGAGTCTCTTAGGTACTAGGACTTTTTCTGTTAGTGGCCATAAAGAAGTCCACTATTTTGTTTCTGATAGGTGAGTTCTAATACCCAGTGTCTGCAGTTGCTGTTTTCTATTGCTGCTTGACATTGCAGTGAATATGGATGTTAATTAAAGTCTGTGTAGGCTGCTGGTAGTTTATTTAGTTGGTGGGCTGAATTACTATCAGTGTCTTCTTTCATTTAGTATAAGCTGAAGAGTCGGCTACAACTGGTAACAGCATGGAGACAAACAACTTTCCTGTGGCTATTACCCCTCTAGATGGACTCGGTCACTTGGAGTGGTCCAAAGGTGTGAAACTATTTATTTATAGGGGGAAGAGGAAAATTGGGTTACTGAGATGGTGATATTGTGGAGCCAAAGGAAAAGGATTCAGCTCATGAGTGGGTTCAAGAAAATTATATGATTGTTTCATGGCTTCTTTCAACAATCCAACCTAGTTTGAGAAAGAATTTCATGTGGGCAGACACTACAGAAGAGGTATGGATCTGGCTAAGGCCACTTATTCGGAGCAGAGGCAACATACTAGAGTGTATCAATTACAAGATTAATCTTCAGCTTATAAACAAGGAGAAAAGAGTCTTTCAGCCTATCATTTGGGGCTCTTACATCTATGTGGAAGGAGATGGACCATTATAAACCCATAGCATAAAAAAGTAAGATGCCAAGGCCTACTGTACAATGTTATCAAAGGAGAGTTTATGCTTTCTTGGGTGGTCGTAATCCTACCTATGGACCTATATGTATGCACTATGCAGATTTTGGGGTGTAAATATCTGCTCATCATACAGAAGGTTTATGCACTCATTCGGTGAGAGGAAATCCATAAGTTGGATATGTCTCCTATTCAGGGGAAGCAGATTGTTTTAGTTGCCAATGGTGGCAATGATGGTAGTAAGAAGCCTGATGGAGGTGTTGACAAAGATAAATTATGGTGCACTTATTGTCAGAGAGACAGGCATACTAGAGAGACTTGTTTGGATTTTGTTGGTAGACCAAAGTTCACCAAGAAACCTGAGAATAAGAAGTATAATTCAGTTAGTGTTGCTTCCCATTTCCCAAGGGTCTTAGCCTACCACTACTACTCCCCGTGACCATCCAAAATGTTCTGTACCTAAGGATGATTTTCTGAATACCATGAGGGATTACTTTGAGCAGTGGTAGGATGTTGCTCGAATTCGAGAGGACTTCACTTACCCCACCATCTACATCATTTTTGGAACATGTCTACATCAGGTAACCAGGCAACTATCCTACATGTGTCATCTATTCCTTTTGAGTCCCCTTGGATTATTGACTCTAGGGCCTCAAATCACATGACTAGTATGCCCAATTTGTTTTCTTCTTATTATTTATTATTTGCTAGGGAACTAGGGATAGAATGAGACTAGTAGATGGCTATTTTTCCACCATTACTAGTCAAGGAACCCTATCTCTTCCAAATGGGTGTTGATATTTCTTTCGTTTTTAATGTTCCAAAATTGCCCATCAATCTTTTCTAAAAGTAAATTTCCCACTAATCTTCTTTCAGTCAATAGTATTAGTCATTCTTTAAACTGTTCTATAACCTTTTTTATTCACACTATTGTGTCTTGGATTCGACTTCAGGGACAATGATTGGTAGAGGACGCATGGTTGATGATCTTTACAAATTTGTAGAGTGGAGATGGTTCAATGACATCAAGTTTATCAGTTTTATGAGTCAATTAGTGAGTTGTAAGTCTATTTTATGGCATCATTGTCTTGGTCATTTATCCTTTGAATCTTTGAGAGTCCTGTTTCATGAGTTTAAGTCTATTCAAATGTCATCTTTGTCCTGCAAATGTGTCAATTAAGTAAACATAATATAACTACTTTTCCTCAAAGCAATAAAAGATCTTCTGTTTCCTTTCATATTATTCATTTGGACTTATGGGCCCTACTTCTATTGTGGCTGAAAGTGGTTACTGCTACTTTATTAGCTTTATTAATAATTATTCACATCAAACATGGATCTATCCTCTTTGTTCCAGAGAGGAAGTACCCAAAATTATCCATGAGTTTCATTGTATGGTTTTCACTCAATTTCATGTGGAAATATAAATATTTCAATTTAACAATGAAAAAGAATCTTTTAAAGGTGATATACAAGAGTCCATTCATCTTGTGGTTCTCTCCAGTGTAGCTCATACCCTAGAACACTACAATAGAATGGTGTTGCAGAAAGAAAGAGCTGTAATCTGCTTGAAGTTGCATGTAGTCTTCTTTTGCATATGAATGTTCCTGATAAATTTGGCTTGATGCTATATTAATTGTTGCATATTTGATCAACAAAATGCTATCTTCTGTTTGTTAGACAGTGTATGCCCTTAGCTCCAATCAGAATGATGTACATTATGACATTTAATGTAGATGAATAAAGTACATATTTGATTCATGTTATTATGGTGTGTTTCTGTATAATACCCTTAAATTGGACACTTATGTGACTCGTGTTAGTTTAGAATCTTCACAGTTGTTGGATAGATCTGGGGAGATTTATCCTGCCAAGGCTGACACTGATGTGCCGCCAAGTTGGTTGAGGTGGCTTGTCTCAGCTGCTAGGGTGAGACCTGAGGTACATGCAGTGTGGGTTTTCTTGAAACCCTGAACCGGACCAGAATTCTAGTATTGCCTTGGACCTTGGAGATAGATGGGCAAACCTGGAATGTTACACCTAACCCCTAGACTCGATTATGATACTGCACTACGTGTCGGATTGGGCTGTCTTTGACATGCCAATTAGTAAGATCCTTAGAGGGGGTCAAATCTTGGGTATGTTGGGACAGTCCGAGAATTCATTTGAGTGGGTGATCATAGTGACAGAATCAACCCCTTTGTCGGACAAAGTAAATGATCAGGAACCCACTCAGGTGAATTCTTGGACTACCCCAACATACCTAGGTTTTGACCCTGGTTAAGAATCTCACTGATTGGCATATCAAAGACAATCCAATCCGACACCTAGTGCAGTACCATAATTGAGTTTAGGGGTCAGGTGTAGCATTCCAGTTTTGTCCATCTATCTCTAAAGTCCAAGACAATATTGGAATTTAGTCCAATTCAGAGTTTCAAGATAACCCACATTACATGTGCCTTGGTTCTTACCTTGGCAGCTAAGACAAGCGAACCCAACCTTCTTGGTAGCACACCAGTGTTAGCCTTGGCAAGATAAATCTCCCCAGATCTATCAAACGGCTGTGAAGATTCTAAACTAACACGAGTCTCATAAGTTTCCAGTTTAAGGGTATTACGCAGAAAAACACCACAATAACATGAATCAATTATGCACTTTATTCATTTACAATAAATGTCAATAAGTACATCAATCTGATTGGGGCTAAGGGCATAACTGTCTAACAGTTATTTCCTGGCTAAGTACACCAGTTGGTTAGGTCTTCTAGGATCCAATCTATACCACTGTTGTCTTTCCCTAGTCGAAAGGTGCAGCAGAGCAGCACTACCATTGCTACTACAACATAATTGGACCAACTACAGATCTTGATCTATCCAAATTAAGGCTCCAAACCTAAATTGTTTTCTTTTCATATGCAGTTTATCATTCTAAATATCTATGTACAACACATGATTCTTCTCGATAAGTCAGTAATTCCTATAGAATGAAGTACAAGAACAAGAAAATAATAGGGGCGTTATGCCCCAAAAAATAAGAGGTTGAGTACTCACAAAATGGCTAAGCACAGCAATGACTTTGTCACCAACTTTGAAATCCTTGACTCCAGACCCAACCTCTACCACCTCTCCTGCTACATCAGTAGCTGTTTCATCAAGTATTAGGAAAGTGTCAGATACCTCTAGTTTTAGAATTTGGAAAAAAAATAAGTAAGAAATGAATAAGCATGTCCATCATATCCTTGAGAAAAGAGGGGAGCAATTTAAAATAAATATGCTTGTTCCAACAATAAGTGTTAGCTTGAGCCATTAAGTTTTCAACCAACATTTTCAACCAAATGTTTTATCTACTTTTTTTAATTAATTTAAGTTATATACATATATTAGGAAAAGAAGGTTACATTCAGGTTGCGGAAGACCTTAAGTGATAGATAGCCAATCATATTCCCAATCTGGATCAGTGAAACTTGGAGGAAAGTTTAGTGAGGTAGGTAGGCTAGCTGATATTTTTGAACCTAGTGGTAGGCAAGCCATTTCCTGTGAAGTGAATTTCTAGACCATTCAAAACCTAATACACACATATGGAGTCTAATCCCCTTGGGTTCCTTTTCTTATGCCCATTTCTTTGAGGCCCTTTCTTCTAACCCCACTGTAATGCAGGTTTTTCTGGTGAAGGCTATTTGAAATGGGTTGGTCCCACCTAAGATTATGGTTTTCTTTTGGGTGGATTTCCACTTGAAAATTAACTCCCTACCACCCTCCCCAAAAAAAATATAAATAAAAAGAAAAAGAAAGAAAAGCGTTGATCACAACCCAAGTTGAAAACCTTAAATTAGGAGCTACATTAAAATCCTTAGGATGTACCTGGTATGTAAGGGAATTTGCGTGGTAGAAATGGTCGTAGCATGCCCTTCTGAATTTTCCAATCCACCGGATTTAGACTTGTTGCCTCCAGCTTCAGCAAAACTTCATCTCTCTTTGGTGTTGGAACAGGAACTTCCACATGCTGCAACGATTAGGGTGTATAATTCAACTAAGTAAGCATGCTGAAAGCTCATTCATCTATGTAATTGAATATTTTTTGACAGATGTATTTGTTTTTGGTTTTTTATAGATGTTGAACTATAAAACACAAATATTGGAGATACCTTTTTTTGGTATCTTAATATTGGATATACATGCTTGTAGTTTTCAAGGAAAGGTTAGGCAATAGAGGGCACCTAGGCATTGCCTAGGTGAAGTTGTCTCCCTTTTTTCTTAATAAAAACTTTGAATCTTAGGGTAATTCCCCAGGGTCCATGGCAACAAATTACAAGCAACATCTATCACTACTAATTACCAATAACCTTCTTAAAAAAGTATAAGCTTAAAACTAAAACATAGAAAATCAACATATTCATGAGAAGAAAAGGAATAAGGAAGACAAATTTCAGAAAATATAAAGGCTGGGCCCCTGTTTTTGTCCTAAGAGAAGAAAAAGAATGTGTTGATTGGAAAAAAAAAACTTAAGATCTTTATTGCTTATGGGTTCAGGTCTTGAAGTCATAAAGGTTTTTTTCGATCAGCATCGAAGTTGTCAAGGGTTCAAGACAGAAAATACAAACATGTTAAGAAAAAGAAACTCATATATAAACCTACAAAATAAATAATTCATCAAGACAAAAAACACCAACATGTGTGTTCATTGAACCCTAAAAATAAGAAAGTAATAAAAAGAGACTCATATAAACCAACAAAATAAATAATTCATCAGGGTGTCACCTTGACAACTATGCTCACACCATTCACCAACATAAAACTTAACAATGTCTAACACCAACACATGTATTGATTGAACCCTAAAAATAAGAAAGTAATAAAAGGAAACTCATATATAAACCCACAAAATAAATAATTCATCAAGGTGTCACCTTGAAAACTATGCTCACACCATTCACCAACATAAAACTTAACAGCTTCTAACACCTAAAATAGAAAGAGAAAAATTGAAGTATGGAAAATAGACTTTGAATCTCTATGTACAGTAGAAACTAGTTTTGAACTCTCAAACTCAAATCAGAACTCAGTCAAATGTCAAATTCCTATTCTACATGACAAATAACATCCTCCCTTGATACTGAAATTACTTGGTTTTTCTCCTATGGATCATGCTGTTAAGGAAAAAAAAAGCAATATACCCAAAAAGGTTGATTAAAGAGAGTAAATGTTGCAACTAGTCATTAACTTTTGCAAAAACACAAAAAAAAAAAATCCTAATTGGATCAAACCAACATTTTGTCAGAAAAAAAAATCAAAAAGTTTGTACTGAACCTTCTCAGAAACCATAAGTGCACAACCATTTGGAGTTTTGAGTCCCATGGACTGTTCTTTTGTTCCAGTGCCTCTTCTTTCTTGGCATTGTGTTTCCAAATAAGGAGCAGTGAATCTGAAGAATTTTAGACCAATAAGTCTAATTAGCAGCCCATATAAGCTATTGGATAGAGTCTTATTAAAAAGAAAAAGAAAAGTCCTACATAAGGTGGTATGGGAGTCACAAATAGCATTTCTGGAAGGGAGGCAGATCTTAGATGGAGTTTTAGTGGCAAGTGAATGCATTAATGCGAGATTAAGAAGCAGGAGACCAGGCTTAGTCTGTAAGATTGACATTGAGAAAGCATATGATCATGTCGAATGGGGCTTTTTGGTGGAAGTTCAAAGGTTAATGGGGTTTGGAGAAAGATGGAGATCTTGGATGTTTGCAKGCAGGTCCACTGAAATGCCCCTGCATATGAGGAGACATACAGCTAACACTTTACTTAGGGGAAAAGACCAAAATACCCCTCTTTAGTCGACTCTAACACTCCCCCTCAAGCTGGAGAGTATATATCATATAATCCCAGCTTGTTACATATATAGCTCACTCTTTCCGAACTCAACCCTTTAGTGAACAGATCTGCCCATTGATCACCTGTTCTCACATGCTCAATGCTTACCTCACCATTGATGACCTTTTCCCTTACAAAGTGGCAATCTATCTCTATGTGTTTAGTTCTCTCATGAAAAACTGAGTTGGATGAGATGTGAATTGCAGCATTGTTGTCACAGTATAGCTTCATTGGTTTGCTTATTGAAAACCCGATTTCCTGCAATAGATTCTTCAACCATACTAGCTCACATGTAGTATGTGTCATGGCCCTGTATTTTGCTTCTGCACTGTTCCTTGCTACAACAACCTCCTTCTTGCTCTTCCAAGTCACTAGATTTCCTCCCAGAAAGTTGCAATAACCTGTAGTGGATCTCCTGTCTGATACAGAGCTAGCCCAGTTTGCGACGGTGTATYCAACTACTTCAAGATCACCTCCTAGCTTGTATAGCAACCCACGACCTGGGGCCCCTTCAAATACCGCACAATTCTAAGAACTGCATCCTAGTGAGGCACCCAAGGATTCTACATGAATTGGCTTACCACACTGACGGAAAAAGAGATATCAGGCTATTAGTGGAAATTATTTTTAGCAATATTTCTCACATAACATAATTCATCGAATTAGACTAATAATTGGGTTTTTTTGTTATTTGGGTAAACCCCATTCGGGAAATCACGTAGTTATTCCCTTAATTACATCTCTACTAGTGGCAGAAAAAACCTTTTGATTCTGATTCAGAAGTACCAATGAATAAAGACTAAACTAAGTAAGAATTTTCTACACAATTTTCAAAGGAAATTCTGGTATATATTCACTCTTTGTTTGAGAGAAAACCAACATATAAAGAAACAAACATTGTATGCATAACAAGTAGATAGGTATCATAAAAAAAACGTGTTTCATCAATAAGGCTACAATTGGCCTTTAAATTGTGGTTGTGTGCATTATCATGCTGTGAGGAACCATAATTAGCCAAGTTTCATGAACAAGGCTATAGATGGTTTTTTTTCCCTCACACATAGGTTAAGAGGTTGTAAGGAACCATAATCAGCCAAGTTTCATGAACAAGACTATAGATGGTTGTCTCCTTACATGTATTTCAATATGAAACAAGTTAGGAAAAAAAAAACAAAAGGAAGAAAGAAAAGAGTGAGAGGAATTGACAGAATATGGGCTTCCATCTCATTCGAGAAGCACAAGGAGTATCATATTGAAGAGGTGTAGGAAGAAAACAATGTTCCCTACCTTCTTCCTTTCTCTTTTATATTCTCGACAACAATCTTCTCGTCTTTTCTCTTCCCACTTGTTTCTTAATGCTAGAAATCCTACAAATCAATTAGTAATAGCCAACAAAAAGGCATTATCCCCTTCCCCTTGTAGGAGAGGGGTTTATATAGAGGTGGGAGGTGGTTAAGTAACTCCCCACTCCTCTCTTCTTAGAATGCCAAGTGTCACCCCACTTAAAATGGGTTAAGGAGGGAAAAGAAAACTCTTCTTTCCTAAGGTGACAAGTGTCCCCCCACATAAAGTGGTTAGAGGAGGGAAAATAATTCTCTCTCCCTTAGGGTGACATGTGTCCCCCCACTTCAAGTGGTTAAAGGAGGGAAAATAGATCCTTCTTCCCAGGGTGACATGTGTCCCCCCACTTCAAGTGGTTAAAGGAGGGAAAATAACTCTCTCTCCCTTAGGGTGACATGTGTCTACCCACTTCAAGTGGTTAAAGGAGGGAAAATAAATCATTTTCCCTAGGGTGACATGTGTCCCCCCACTTAAAGTGGTTAGAGGAGGGAAAATAGTCCTCTTGTTGGAATAGGACAAGTGGCATCCCCTCATAAATAAGTGGGACACCTTACAATTAATTAATCAAAATGGGTTTATTCTTTTAGGGCCTGTTGTTCCACTAAATGGACTCTACTGCAGGCCCATTAAATGCTTATTGCATTATAAATATGCCCAAATAACTTGGGGCTTGTTGTTCACTAAACTAGACTGCAGGCCCCTTTCTTTATTAAAATGTTTCAGCCCACCAATAGGACTGATTGGGCTTAAAAGAAAGCCCTTTTATCTTCTTTATTATTATTTTTTTTTAAGTTGTGATTGGGAGTATCTTAATAACCTACTCCCAGTCCAGCAAACTTAAGGACTTAACAGTGCCCCCTTGAGAACTGTGAGCTCAAAAAATAGCTTGAGGTTGCAGTGCTTAAGCCATTTTTAATTGATTGGGCCAGATTTTTGTGAATCGGACTTGATTAAGACTTGAAGTTGAAAACAAAAGCCCCTCTAATGGGCTGGAAATTGTAAAAAAAGGACTAACCATATATTGTTAGGCTTTCTTTTATTATTAATAGCCCATATAACTTAAGTGTAAGAACTTTTATATAAGGCTTAAAGAATATAATTAAATGGGCTTAAGAAACTTATGAATATGGGCCCACACATAAAGTGTGGTCCCATGTTTTAAATTGAAATTGGCCCAAGTTATATGTTAATGGGCCTACAAGCTTTTAATGTAAATGGGCCTTAATGATATGTCAATGGACCTTAAAAGCCTTTTAAATAACTAAGTATGGGCCATTATTTAAAGTGCGGTCCTATACTTCACACTTGTCTTTATGGGCTTAAAAGAAAGGCTCAACAAATTAAAAGATGGCCAGCTGTCCATTAGTTAAGTAAACAAAAGTCCTACTATAATTAAGACTTCCGTTTAGATAAATATACGAGCTAGCACGTTTCCAACTTCTTTATCTCATTACTCCAGTCAAAAGAGAGAAAAGAAAAGGAGAGACTTAGCAAAGAAAAAGAGAGACTCAGCCTTATTGAGTCAATCTCATTCACATATAGGCTCCAAAAAGAGAGGGAGATATTATTTCTGAAAGAGTTGCTGCACCTTCAACAAATCTGTCTTTTCCAGATTTCTCTCCACCTAAAGACAAAAGTGATTCAGCCTTATTGAGTCTCAGTCCTATTCACATGGAGGCTCAAAACGAAAGGGAGCAACTACTTCTCAAAAAGCTGCTGCACCTTCAACAGATTTGTCTTTTCCAGATCTTAGGTATGCTATTAAATTTTTGTTTAATTAAGAAGAAAAAACAGATAACCA